CAAAGATTTTAGGACAAAACTATTTTTCTAGAGTGCAGGTGTGACCTAGTGGTAAAGTTAGACCAATATTGGCCCACCCCTCCAAAAAAATCACAGAAAAGTTAAAAAGCCTTTCCTAACGGAAAGTTACCCAAACTTTAAAGAGAAATGAAAAAAGATATCAAAAAATAGTAACTTTGGGCCCAAACTCAAGTTGACTTGAATGAAATACGTCTGAGGTTTTTATTCCAAGATTTGTAGGAGGAGATACATTCAGTGCGAAGATATTAAAAAAATGTTTTTTTTTGGATGTTGCCAGATTTCACCACCCAACAAGAGTGAAGGTGTGACTTGCCTGCCCAACCCAAAAAATCACAGATGAGTTAATACGTAAAGAAGTGACAGACACACACACACAAACAAAAATGATTCTAAGGGCAATCCTAGCAGAGTAGATCAACAACCGACTTAAAGACAAACAAAATCATAGAGAAACAGATAAGGAGATCACAAGGGAATACAGTTACATTGTATGCAAGGAAGAATATAGAATTGGAATTCATAACCCAGTGTCCCCCAAAACATTACACATTTCAAAAACTGCATTAAAGAAAAATCAGAATTCCTGTTAATACAGAAACAAAAATAGGAAATCAACAGGTGGTTGTTATGGCAGCCATAATAATCTGAACCCATTTTTAATATTTTAACCTAATCATAAGTAGCCAGATAAAATTAGAATGCATATATTGAACTTATTTGTAAGTCCATGAATTTGATTGAATGCATACAAAGCTGTGTGTTTAATAATAGTACAGTCACTAGTAGTTAAGCCAGTATAACAACATACAGGTACACTTCAATGAGTCTTGTCGGTTTCTATAACCCATCGTTGATAGCGTGACCTGTCATGACCTTTGACAAGGGTACCTGCAAAATTCTATTGTCCCTAACCATACAAACACACAACATCTAACGCAAAATGGGACAACAAAAGAACTTTAATCGTGTTGTGATCTATGCTTCACTAAAAAGCATTATAGTGTATTATTATTAGACTTATTACCTGTTGGAAACGAATGGGACACAAAACACAACAGTTGACTAAAAGGGAAAACATTAAAGTTACTAGTACTAGTATGTTTAATAAATGGGAATTGTAGCTTTGAAAGGAGAGTGATGGTATGAGTGGTTACCAAGGAAGGAATTTTTACATACAAGTACACACACAGGGGAATTTCTTTGACCTTGTCTACGTACATGATGTATCACAAAACAACCACTCTGATCTATTTACCTTTCTTAGTATAATTCGTAAGTAAAGTTGTCAAAGTAAAGTACAACATAAATTATAATAATGTGTGAGTCATCAAAATAGTTTGTAAGAACATTTCGTTTTTTCTAATGATGTATAATTTCCAAGTTAGCAAATAACCATCCAAAAAAAGTCAATTTTATCATATATTTCACATTGGCACTATGGAAAAGACATTTCTACATTTATACAAATTGACATCTTCTTAACACCAGTTTGCTTTATTATATGTTTTGTGTGAATGGACTTTAGTTTTAGGTTAAATAAGTTAGAGACTTAAATGTCTATTTCTAATGGAGCAAATAATGTATGTGCAGTCTTAAATTAATTAAATTAATATTAAATTAATATTTTTGATAAGCTATGTGTGAAAACTGAGCTTAAAATAGTAAATACTTGCATTGTTATTTAAATTTTTTAACAGTACACTGTTGAATATTAAATTTATTCCATTTTTATCCTCACCATGGCAATCCATTTTAAGAGAAACAAATAAAAATTGAAAGAAGTTTAAATAACATAAAACAACCGTTCAATGACGACAGACTTACATATTAACAATCTGCCTGTTGACACATGACCTTTTGTTACAATAATTGGATTATTAATTTACACCAAGCAGCTTACCAACACCACTTTATTACCAGTCATTTGTCATTTTAAAAAAAAGTCTTATTAATCATGGTTGCATGTTTCCAAGCTTTACTTGAGTACTTAGTGTAGCAACAGTTTCAATTGACTTACAGTAGAAATGTTATTACAATCGTATTCGTTATTAGGTAGGGCATCAGAGACAGTGATGATTTGCTATTTTTGTGGGCTGACAAAACTAAAGAAATGAATTAATTCTGGAGATATTTTATTTGTTTTCAACTCAATAGTGGTACTTCTTTACAACCACATGATGTATGAAAGCATTTTGTCATCACCGTGGTACACACACACTGTAACGTGTTCACTGCTTAAATTACTGTGTATGCTTTGCACTAATTGTCAGATCACGTACTTCACACCCGTGATAGGGAGGGTAAAATAAACATAGCATTCCAATTGTACGAAGTGAAGTACAATAGATTCTGACAATAAACACACAGTGTTGCAAACTATGACAATGTCCAATAGACAAATGGTTTCTAAGGCAGATTATAACATGTGAGAACACATATAATGAATTACAGTACAAATCAAAGAAATAAATACAGGTTTGATGGGCTCTGTATATGATGTGTCTATCACACTACTATTTGATTTGAAATCCTGAAAAATTAAGTTGTTTCTTTCAGATACCATTTTTTTATAGGCACGGAAAGCAATTCATCAAATTTTAGTCAAAGAAACAAACATGGATATCATACTTTTATTAGTTTGATTTCAAAATTAAAATGTTTACCAAAAAAAAAAAAATACTGGTACTGATGGTTAAGATTGTTATCGAATGTTCCACTTTTAAGTTTTATTTTGTAAAAGGTTCTAAAAAAGGTTAACTTTGACAGTCAAAGGTTAAATACATCACCTGCTTATGTTATTTTTTTTCTATATATTTTGCTCATTGGAGGCTTTCAGCTGGTAATGTACTCAACTCTGTACAATTATCTATGCCTCTGTGAGTGTGTAACATTCACTATCAGGAGGCCATGGCTGTTTAAAGCATACTTATTGAGAAGAACAAAGACAATGTCAAGGTGTGTTGTTTTATCCAAAGGGACACAACATGTGATGTTGTCTAGGAATTTTGTGTGTGTGGAAGGGGAGAGGGATCAGCAAGCCACAATCCCCCCCCAACATAAAACAAGATTCAACATTATACTGACTCTGTTTGAAAAAATACATTGAATTAATCTTGCATGCTTTATATTTTTCATTCCTTGAAATGTAGGAAAAAACACAAACTGCACTTTGTATGCTAACACAGTACACAACATGTGTATTTTTATTTTTATTAAAAAAAAATGGAAAATAAATAATTTATTTTCTTTTCTAATTAAACATATATAAAATTATTTGTCAACACATTTCAATCACTCCCATAACTTGTCTCAGT